TAGTTAGGTTCTTAGTAGAGCAAAACTCTCACTTTATGCTGTTACCTCCTTTTTCTCGCTTCTCCTACTCTAATCGTGGTTTCTGTGTCTTGATGCGCTGCTGAACATTAAGCTCCACAAGAGCAGGACTTCGACTATCACGGCAAGATCAGGGGCCTAGCCACAATTCTCTGGCTCACAGTAGACATTTGGTGCTGTTTAAATGGAAATAAATAAATAAAACCAAATAATTACAACAATAAAATGAACCACAACTTTCTCAGTCAACTGAGTGCTTAGCACTTCATCCTCTTTCTTGGCCTTTAATAACAGCTGATACTTTTCTCCTCCTCTTACCTCCCAATCCATTCCCACGTTGCAGCAAAGTGAAGTTTATGTCCTCCCTGAATCCTCATTAGTGCAGATAAAGGCTGAATTGCTAAGGGTGCCCCTTCCAGGCCATTTCTGACTCTTTGCTCTCATACTCAGTTGCAGTCCCCAAACATTGCCCAGCATTCTGTCTCTCTTTTGTAATGTCCTCCCCACGCCTTTTTTTTTGGCTCCACCCGCCCAATCCTCCCTTTTCTTTTTAAATATTTCAAACACCAGAAAAATATGTGAATATACATGTACTCACCCTGGCTGTTCACATTCTAATAAATTCTTGCTTCAGATTGTTTTTTGGAAATAGAACATTTCTAGTACATTTAAAGTCCTATTTTCCCTTCTAAGTCCTAGGCCACTTTCTCTTTGCCCAGAGGTCATCAATATCCTGATTTTTTATTATTTGTATTTATTTATTTATTTTGAGACAGAGTCGGACTCTGTCACCCAAAATGGAGTGTAGTGGCGTGATCTTGGCTTACTACAACCTCTGCTCCCTGTTCAAGTGATCCTCCCGCCTTAGCCTCCTGAGTATCTGGAACTACAGGTGCATACCACCATGCCCAGCTAATTATTATTATTATTATTATTTTTTGAGATGCAGTCTTGCTCTCTCCCCCAGGCTGGAGTGCAGTGGCGCAGTCTTGGCTTACTGCAACCTCCGCCTCCCGGGTTCAACTGATTCTCCTGCCTCAGCCTCCCAGGTAGCTGGGACTACAGGCGCACGCCACCATGCCTGGCTAATTCTTTTGTATTTTTAGTAGAGATGGGGTTTCATCATGTTGGCCAGGCTGGTCTCAAACTCCTGACCTCAAATGATCCGCCTGCCTCAGCCTCTCAAAGTGCTGGGATTACAGGCGTCAGCTACCACGCCCAGCCTCCCAGCTAATTTTTTGTATTTTTAGTAGAGACAGGGTTTCACAGTGTTGACCAGGCTGGTGTCGAACTCAAGTGATTTGCCCATTTCAGTCTCCCAAAGTGTTGGGATTACAGGCATGAGCCAGCACACCTGGCCCAATAATCCTGATTTTTTTTTTTTTTTTTTTTTTGAGACAGAGTCTTGCTCTGTCACTCAGGCTGAAGTGCAGTGGCGTGATCTCAGCTCACCGCAACCTCTGCTTCCTGGGCTCATGCGATTCTCCTGCCTCAGGAGAAGTTTTAGTAGAGACAGGTTTGTATTTTTAGTAGAGATGGGTTTTACCATGTTGACCAGGCTGGTGTCAAACTCCTGCCCTCAGGTGATCCACCTGCCTTGGCCTCCTAAAGTGTTGGGATTACAGGCGTGAGCCACTGTGCCTCGCCCGACCCCTGATTTTTAAATATCTTTTCCACTAACACCTTTATACTTTTTGCTACATATGTATATACGTATAAAAACTACATTTGTTTAGAGCTTCTATACCAGTGTATTCTAACTGCAGCAGTGAATGAACTTCCAATATCTACATCTTTGCCCAGATAAAGAATTATCAGACTTAATATTTGTCAGTTTGGTGGCTAGAATAAGCTGTTACGTTTCCCTGATTACTGATGAGGTTGAGCATATTTATATGTTTGTTGGTCATTACTGTTTTCTGTAAACCTTATTCCTAATATGTTCTCATTGTTCTCTAGGGTTTTCTTTTCCTTATTGATTTCTAGGAGGAATTCTTTCTGTATTTTGAATAACATTCTTGTCTGCTATTTGTTATTCATATCTTTTTTCAGTCTGTGGCTTATCTTTTCATTTAATCTGCCTATAATTGATTTTTATATATACTATGAGATCAGATTGGGTTCTAATTTTATTTTTCCATATTGGTAAAATGTTCCAACACCATTAACTTTTCCTACTTTTTTTTTTTCTCTTTTAAGACAGGGTTTCACTCTGTGGCCCAGGCTGGAGTGCAGTGGTGTGATCACAGATCACTGCAGCCTTGACCTCCCCGGGCTCAGGTGATCCTCGCCTCCTGAATAGCTGGGACCACAGGCATGTGCCAGCCACCACCCCTGGCTAATTTTTGTATTTTTTTAGAGATGGAGTCTTGCCATGTTGCCCAGGCTGGTTTTCAGCTCCTGGGCTCAGTTGATTGGCCCACCTTGGCCTCTCAGAGTGCTGGGTTTACAAGTGTGAGCCACCATGCCTAGCCTTTTCTACTTTTTTTTTGTTTGTTCTCTTTTGGAATAACTTTAGATTTGCAGAAAAGTTACATAAGTAGTACGAAGGATTCCCATATACCTTCATGCAGATCCATCAAATATTAATGTTTAACATTTTTGCTTGCTCTTGTGTGTACTCTCTTCCCCCCTCCCTCCACATTCGATTTTGTTTTTTGGGGGAACCATTCAAGAGTAAGTTAACAGATACTGTCTCTTCACCCCTACATACTTCAACTAGGACATTTTCTTACAATATAATTGTTAAAACCAGGAAATTAATATTGAGAAAGGACTGTTATCTACCAGCCCTATTCAGATTTCACCACTACTGTTCTTTAAAGCAAGATAATGACAATAATATTTTTCCTGATAACCAAGGTTGCATTTACTTGTCATGCCTCTAGTCTCTTTACTGACTTTTAGTGTTGCCTCTACTAAAAAGCACATTTTCATATATGATATGTCTGCTTTGGGGCTTTTCTTTTTCATTAGTCTGTTCATTTCTGCACTAATTCCGTATTTTCTTAATGATTTCTTTAGCTGATGAAGAAGTCTTAAAATCTAGGAAAGTGTCCCCTCTGTTTTGTTTTCTTTTTTTTTGTTTTGTTTTTGTTTTCGAGACAGTCTTGCTCTGTCTCCCAGGCAGGGGCTTGATCTTGGCTCACTTCAACCTCCACCTCCTGGGTTCAAGCGATTCTCCTGCCTCAGCCTCCCATGTTGCTGGTTGGGATTACAGGTGTGCACCACCATGCCTGGCTAAATTTTGTATTTTTAGTAGAGATAGGGTTTCATCATGTTGGCCAGGCTGGTCTTTTTTTTTTTCTTTTTTCATTTTTTTTTTTTTTTTGTGAGATGGAGTCTCGCTCTTTCGCCCAGGGTGGAGTGCAGTGGTGTGATCTCAGCTCACTGCAAGCTCTGCCTTCCGGGTTCACGCCATTCTCCTGCCTCAGCCTCCGGAGTAGCTGGGACTACAGGCACCCGCCACCACGCCTGGCTAATTTTTGGTATTTTTAGTAGAGACGGGGTTTCACGGTGTTAGCCAGGACGGTCTCGATCTCCTGACCTCGTGATCCACCTGCCTTGACCTCCCAAAGTGCTAGGATTACAGGTGTGAGCCATTGTGCCCGGCCTTTTTTTTTTTTTTTTTTTTTTTTTTTTTTTTTAAAAAGACAGAGCCTTGCTCTGTCGCCTAGGCTGGAATGCAGTGGTGCAATCTCGGCTCACTGCAGCCTCTGCCTCTGGAACATTAAATGTTCCAGACCAGTCTGGCCAACATGGTGAAACTCCATCTTTACTGAAAATACAAAAATTAGCCGGGCATGGTGGTGCACGCCTGAAATCCCAGCTATTTGAGAAGCTGAGGCAGGAGAATAGCTTGAACCTGGGAGGTGGAGGTTGCCTTGGCTACGAGCGAGACTCTCATACACACAAAATAACACAGCAGGTGTATGAGGAACTTTAAATGTCTTTCCTAACTTACTGTATGCAAATAAAAGTAGATACTTAGGAAATTGTCTAAAAATATTTAGTAAACCCATTTCTACACAGACAAATTAAAAGTTCTGAGAAATCAGGCTAAAATAACCTCAAATTTATAAGGTTTGATTAATAAATATTTACCTTTGCATATACACGAAAGCAAAAAAAGTTAGGAATACTTTCAATTTCAATAAATTGAAATCAAGTACAAATTTTGACTCCCCTTCCTAAACTGAATAAACTCTTAAAAAGCAGACACACTTTACTTGTGTAAACACTCTTTTTTTTTTAAATGGACTTTCACTCTTGTTGCCCAGGCTGGAGGGCAATGGTGGCATCTCGGCTCACCGCAACCTACACCTTCCGGGTTCAAGCGATTCTCCTGCCTCAGCCTCCCAAGTAGCTGGGATTACAGGCATGCACCACCACGCCTGGCTAATTTTGTATTTCAAGTAGAGATGGGGTTTCTCCATGTTGGTCACGCTGGTCACGAACTCGCGATCTGACAGATTCTGTTTTCACATGCCCCTACATGGGTGGGACTGCTTCAGGATTCTAAAAGACAGTACCTTCTGGTGCACTTTCTAAGATGGAACATAATTCTACTCTTTAAAAATCATTAGAGAGTATGTATTAATGAACTTTGGCTTTTATTAACTTTCTGGTCATGGCTGTTTGTTTGATGCAGAGTCCTTGACTGTAACAGAAACCTCAAGTAGGGGAAACGTTCACTTTCTAACGATTTCCTTATGATTGATTGACATGTCAGTATAAAATGGATGAGGAATTATACACGTGTTGTATACTGCTATTAATGTTTGGTACAGTGCTTTCTTTAGGGTTTTCATTTTGAGGGGTTGTTAGATCCAGCATTTTCTGGAGCAGAATGCCTTTTAAAGGGAATTTTGTCTTTTTGGGAAATAATTTATAAAAGTTAATTTGGAAAAAGGTGAATTTAAATATGTGTAGCTCTTATAATTATGAGCTTTTTACATTTACACTGACGTTCTTTTGTATAGGAGTTAAAGTTCCTCGTAATTTTCGCTTGTTGGAAGAACTTGAAGAAGGACAAAAAGGAGTAGGCGATGGTACGGTTAGCTGGGGCCTTGAAGATGATGAAGATATGACACTTACAAGGTGGACAGGCATGATTATTGGGCCACCAAGGGTCAGTGTTATAAATTATATTTTTTCTATTAATACTTATTGTTACTTTAGAGTTAACATTTAATTTTATACTATTGATATTAAAATAAGCAATTATGATAACTTCTAAAATAGTTCCTTTTTATTTATTTTGTTTACATTTATTGATGCTTCCCATGTGCAGGATATAATCCTTGATTATGTAGAGGATTGCGGGGAGGAAGGTTGATACGGTCATTGCCATCAAAGTTTTGCAGTTTAGTAAAGGAGAAAAAAATCAGTACAAATTGACAGATTCTAAATATGACAGAGCAAGTTCACTGCAGGACTTTAGAATGTGTTTCTTCTAGCTGGAATAATTGAGGAAGGCTGAACAGTGGAGGAAGTTGCCTTTGGAATGAGCGCTAAAGGACTGACTGGTAGGATTTCAGAAGGTGGTGATGGGGATGGAGAACATTCCAGATAGAGAGGACAAAAGGTGAGGAAATGGAGGGGGTATGTGGGGAGAGCAGTCATTTTGACGTAACATGTTACTAACCTCTGGTGTGAACCTGAGGGTTTCTAAATTGGTTTGCATTGAGTGCACGTTGCTATTTGCCCTCTGACACTTCACATGCCATAGAAATGCTGTAGGTCTCAGTTTCTTCATCTATAAAAAGTCTATGATTCTTGCACTTTTTTCTAGTATGGTTGGCAACTGGCCCATTGTACTTTGTCTTAGGTCTTTCTTGGGTTTATGAAGTTTTATTTTTACTCAAAGTCTTTTTATCTAGCTTGGGATTTTTTAAAATTTTTATTTATTTATTTATTTTTACGTTGCATTCCTTACTTAATGGTCCCATCCACTGCACTCCTTGCAGCGAATCTTTGAAATGTGTGCCTGTAATGTTTTTGGCTTATTAGAAAGAGCACACATTTGAAGGGTTTTTCAAGTCTTTGGTTTTGTATACTGGTTGCTACCTTATGATGAGAGCATTTCAACAGTTTTGCTCTTGGGTAGAGTTTAGAGTTCCTTCTGATGATGATGATGATGATTATTATTATTATTGAGACAATATCTTGTTCAGTCACCCAGGCAGTGGTGTGATCTCAGCATACTGCAGTCTCAGCCTCGTGGGCTCAAGCGATCCTTCCACCTCAGCCTCCTGAGGTGGTGTGCACCACCACTGCTGGCTAATATTTGTAGTTTTTGTAGAGAGGGGGTTTCACCATGTCAGCCAGGCTGGTCTCAAACTCCTGGCCTCAAGTGATCCACCTGCCTTGGCCTCCCAAAATGCTGGGATTACAGGTGTGAGCCACCGCACCTAGCCCCTCCTGATTATTACAAAAGAAAAATGTATCAGGTAATTAGCAACATTAATTATAGAGAATGAATTAGTGTGTTTTCTGTTGTTTTCTGGTGTTCCTTTGCAAAATTCATGCACACTCCTAAACTGATAGGCTGCCTGTGTACCTTGCTCTATTTTTTCCTAAAGACATTTGAGGAAGGAAATATAATATTGATGGATAGAGTTCCTTATAACTTGGTATGCATAATGAAGACCTTGATTTTCACTGCCTGTGAACGTTATTACTATGGTCTGTTTGGTTAAAAAAAAGTGCTTATAATTGATGAACATTCTGACTTACTGATTTGAAGATTTAACAGTCAGAACTTGGTAGAATATAAATTTGGAATTATTTAGATTTGGTTTTTCTCCAGCCACTGCCTGCAGCAGACTTTATTCTTTAAGAATGTTTTGGAGCTTGTGATGAGTTCATCAGTGGTCTTGTGGACTGACCCACAGCACAGTTCCTAGCTGTGGTGGACCGGCTCCTGCTTGGTCTTTCACCCGGTTGGGGCCCCCTGCAGGATGCTCCAACTGGTTGCCATTCCTGGTGTCACTGAACCTCAGGAAACTCCATCCACTGGGATGGGGGTGAAGGCTGCTTCTCCACAACTCTCTCCTTGCTCAAGGGGCGCAGGGCACACTGACAAGATGCTGTGGCGGTCCTCCACTCTCAGTGGTTGGTGGTTTTGGAGCTGCAGGGGAGAAAAGGTCATAATAGCTTTTCCTCACTTGTCTCAAGCTTCATGGCTGAGGCACTTATAATAAAAGGCAGAGAAAAGCATACAAATTTATTTAAGTTTTACATGACATGGGAACATTTAGAAAGGAAGACCCAAAGAAACAGGAAAACCTGCGTATTTTTATGCTAAATTTGGTGAAGAGTGGACAGTAATGTAACAGCGTGATTGGATCTGATGGTAACACACTAGGTAGTAAACTGGGGGAACTTACCAGGGCCTGTTTGTTCAGATTATTCCTGTGTCTATGGATTTCATTCCTTTCTTGGCATAAGACAAGACCCCTTTGGAGTGGTTCTCATGACCTACTTCATGGGGAGGTCAGCTAGATTTTAGGGTCTGCTTCAGAGGAGAAGGGGGCGAAGGTAAGGTAAGAGTAACCTTGCTTCTGCTGTTTTCTTAAGTGCCAAGGTGCCGTACTTTGGGATAGTGTGTCTTGAACCTCATCAGAGACCCGCTAACTTCCTTTGAGTGCCAGGCAGAGGTAGGAGGGTGTGCCCTGCAAAGGCACAGGCTTCTTCTGGAGCTGGCCTCTGCTCACCACCTGATGATCTTCTCTGCATCACCCTCTCTCTCAGTTCTCTTGAAGGCAGGAGGTTATAGCGGGTATATTCAGTTGCCTTTTCATAAAACAGGCAGGAGTTGGTGTCTTACCACAGTTGTTTTCTCCTTAGAAAGTGAGATGTTGAGAACAGTTTTATCTCCAGGGTAGAGTACCTACATCTCGCCAGAAGAAAAGGAAGACTTTTTTGTTTGTTTGTTTGTTTTTGAGACGGAGTTTGGTTCTTGTTGCCCAGGCTGGAGTGCAATGGTGTGATCTTGGCTCACCGCAACCTCTGCCTCCCAGGTTCAAGTGGTTCTCCTGCCTCAGCCTCCCTAGTAGCTGGGATTACAGGCATATGCCACCACACCCAGCTAATTTTGTTTTTTTTTTTTTTTTTTGAGACGGAGTCTTGCTCAGTCGCTCAGGCTGCAGTGCAGTGGTGCGATCTCAGCTCGCCACTGCATCTGCCTCCCGGGTTCACGGCATTCTCCTGCCTCAGCCTCCCGAGTAGCTGGGACTATAGGGACCCACCACCATGCCCTTTTAATTTTTTGTATTTTTAGTAGAGACGGGGTTTCACTGTGTTAGCCAGGATGATCTCGATCTCCTGACCTCGTGATCCGCCCGCCTTGGCCTCCCAGAGTGCTGGGATTACATGCGTGAGCCACTGTGCCTGGCCTAATTTTGTAGTTTTAGTAGAGACGGGGTTTCTCCATGTTGGTCAGGCTGGTCTCAGCCTGACCTCAGGTGATCTGCCCACCTCGGCCCTCCCAAAGTGCTGGGATTACAGGTGTGAACCACCGTGCTGGTCGAGAGGAGGAAGACTTTATCATACTGTTACATGGTTGGTTGTTTTTTATTTTTGTTTTATTTTATTTTGAGATAGTCTCACTCTGTCACCCAGGCTCGAGTGTAGTGGCCCGATCACAGCTCACAGCCTTAACCCCCTGGGCTCAAGCAATCCTCCCACCTCAGCCTTCTGAGTAGCTGGGACTATAGGGGCACACCACCATACCTGGCTAATTTGTGTGTGTGTGTGTGTGTAGAGACAGGGGTCTCACTATGTTGACAAGATGGGTCTCAAACTCCTGGGCTCAAATGGCCCTCATGCCTTGGCTTGCCAAAGTGCTAGGATTATAGGCATGAACCACTGTGCCTGGCCAGTTGTTTTTTATTTTTTATACTTTATTGACTAAAGGTCCCTGTTTTTTTGAGATGGAGTTTCGCTCTTGTTGCCCAGGCTGGAGTGCAATGGCGTGATCTTGGCTCACCGCAACCTCTGCCTCCCAGGTTCAAGCGATTCTCCTGCCTCAGGCTACCAAGTAGCTGGGATTACAGGCATGCACCACCATGCCCGGCTAATTTTGTAGTTTTAGTAGAGATGGGGTTTCTCCATGTTGGTCAGGCTGGTCTCGAACTCCCGACCTCAGGTGATCCGCTTGCTCGGCCTCCCAAAGTGTTAGGATTACAGGCGTGAGCCACCGCACCCAGCCAGATCCCTCATTTTTTATGTTCTAGTATTTATTTGGATTTATATGATTAGCAGTTTTTCTTTTCTATGTTTCTGTGTTCAGTTTTCTGAAGCAATATTTGTTGTCACTAGAGTTTAGTACTTTCTCAAGTTTTCTCATATGTAAATGAAGGTACTGTCTCCATCTTTAAAATAGAAACAGTATGAGAATTAAGTGAAATAATGATTACATAATAGGAGACTACCTGAGTACTTGACTTAGTAAATATTAGTTTGTTTTTCTCCTCTTTTTTTTTTTGCTCTTGCTTTTTGTTAGATAACAGGAAAACCTGGCTGTTAATGTAATTTTTTTTTTTTTGAGACAGTCTTGCTCTGCCACCCAGGCTGGAGTGCAGTGGCTTGATGTCAGCTCACTGCAACCGCCACCTCCTGAGTTCAGGTGATTCTCCTGCCTCAGCCTCCCGACTAGCTGGGATTACAGGCATGTGCTACCAATTTTTGTCTTTTTAGTAGAGATGGGGTTTCACCATGTTGGTCAGTCTGGTCTCGAACTCATGACCTCAGGCAGTATGCCTGCCTTTGGCCTCCCAAAGTGCTGGGATTATAGGCATGAGCCATCATGCCCAGCCTGTTAATTTAAAATTTAGAGGGGATAAAATCAAAGGTGTCAGAAGTTAGGGTGATATTTACTGTAAGCATTGGATTAGATTAATAGGCTAGCTTTGGGATTAAATTTTTTTTCTTTTTCTTTTTGAGACGGAGTCTCACTCTGTCACCCAGGCTGGAGTGCAGTGGCACGGTCTCAGCTCACTGCAAACTCCGCCTCCCGAGTTCATGCCATTCTCCTGCCTCAGCCTCCCGAGTAGCTGGGACTACAGGCGCCCACCACCGCACCGAGCTAATTTTTTGTATTTTCAATAGAGAGGGGGTTTCACTGTGGTCTCGATCTTCTGACTCGTGATCTGCCTCGGCCTCCCAAAGTGTTGGGATTACAGGTGTGAGCCACCATGCCCAGCCTAAAAATTTTTTTCTTAACATAAAATCCTTCAGAAAAGAGCTTTGGTTTTTTGTTTGTTTGTTTGTTTGTTTTTTAACTTAAAAGGAATTGAGGTAGAATTTACATGTAGTGAAATGCACAGATGTGCCGTGAGTTTGACAAATGTAGCTTGTTACCCCTACGGAAATAAAGAACATTCCCGTCAGTCCAGAAAGCTCCCTGTGCCCTTTCCCACACCCACCCCTGCTTCCTGCACCTGAGAGATCTGCATGTTGTAGAGCTTTGATAAGTAGGGTCATGTAGTGTGTACACTTACGGTTCTCGTCTTTACTCAGCATGAAGTCTGAGCAATTCAGTTGTGTTATCTCAGGTAGTAGGAGTGTGTTTCTTTTTATTGTTGAATAGTATGTTACTATATGGATATACCACAGTGTGTTTATCAATTTTTTTAATGGACATTTGGATTTAATCTACATTATTGCTTTTACAAATAAAGCTGCTATGGGCATTCTTGTAGAAGTCTTTTTGTGAACATGTTTGTTTCCATTTCGTTTGGGTAAATGCCTAGGAATAGAATTGCTGTATCAGGGCCGGGTGCGGTGGCTTGCGCCAGTAATCCCAGCACTTTGGGAGGCCGAGGCGGGCAGATCATGAGGTCAGGAGATCGAGACCATCCTTGCTAACACGGTGAAACCCCGTCTCTACTAAAAATACCAAAAATTAGCCAGGCGTGGTGGCGGGTGCCTGTAGTCCCAGCTACTTGGGAGGCTGAGGCAGGAGAATGGCGTGAACCCGGGAGGTGGAGCTTGCAGTGAGTGAGTCGAGATCGCTCCACTGCACTCCGACCTGGGCGACAGCAAGACTCCGTCTCAAAAAAAAAAAAAAAAAGAATTGCTCTATCATAGGGGTGTCTGATATGCATCCAGATTGGAGAACCACAGCCAAGATAATCTTTAGATCTATCTGATTTTAGTCATTTTTATATATTGAAAGTGCTGGGGATATTATTAATATTTGCTTGCTATTAATCTCAGATAAGTTTTATATAGCTTTTTTTCTTAAAAATATTGAAATATTTAATAACATACATATAAGATTGTTGCATAGGTTTTACATTAGAGTAGTTTAATACTGCAAATCTGACCTCCATTTGGATAGTTCTTGTTTATGGGGATGGGATCAGTTTGAGTAGGTGAGATCTGTAGATGGTTGATTAGCTTCCTCCCTCTCTGGTCTTATTCAGCAGCCAGCAGGTATTAAATTTTTCACTTTCATTTATTTATGTATTTATTTTTATGTTATTTTAATTATAATTTAGAAAATTTATTAAAATTTCAATAATTATAAATTCTTTTTAAAACAATTTTTTTCTTTTTAATCTCCTGAGTCAAGGTGAGGATTCATTTATTTTTTTTTTGGTATTTTTTTTTTTTTTGAGATGGAGTCTTGCTCTGTTGCCCGGGCTGGAGTGCAGTGGCCGGATCTCAGCTCTCTGCAAACTCCCCCTCCCGGGTTTATGCCATTCTCCTGCCTCAGCCTCCCGTGTAGCTGGGACTACAGGCGCCCGCCACCTCGCCCAGCTAGTTTTTTGTATTTTTTAGTAGAGACGGGGTTTCACCGTGTTAGCCAGGATGGTCTCGATCTCCTGACCTCGTGATCCGCCCATCTTGGCCTCCCAAAGTGCTGGGATTACAGGCTTGAGCCACTGCGCCCGGTCAAGGATTCGTTTATTTTTTACTTTGCTGTTTTAATGGTACACTAATAAGTTAACCAAGTGAACAAAAGCTATAGGAGAAAGAAGAGCTAATTTATAGGCATGAAAATAAGCCCTGGATAATCTAGAAGCTTTAAGTTTGATACCTATTTGAAAATGATGTGTAAACATAAAGTTTGCTATTGTTTCTCTGAATTCAGATAATGGGATTTAATGAACCTCAAAATTAATGAAGTAGCAACGTAAGTGTAACTAACAGGAGACATAAAATAATTATGTTTTATTGCTGCACAATGGTATAATGTGGGGTTTTCTTTTTTGCTAGAAGTTATTGATTGCCATATTAAGTAGGATGATCATATAATTTGTTATCCAACAAGACCCTTTTGAGAATGAAAACAGGCACTATTAATAGTCAATTCTGGAACAATAGGAATAAGCAGAACTGTTGTGTAAAACAGAAACCTCATATATGTTTGACACAAGTCTCAAGTAGCCCCTCCCTCTACAATGTAAACTTTTTAGCAAAATCTAAATTTAAGTGGTTTGGTTTTTCCTTTTTCCTTCTTCCTTCTAATTTGTTACAGGCATCATTTTTATCACAAAAGCAAGTTGTGATCATATTGATAATACTTTGTAGAATTAATTTGGGAAGATCTCATGCAATTAATTTTGTAAAATCTCAATTTTTAAGTATGCTTATTGCATTTTTTCTCACCATAGAGGTGAAATAAATTTGAATGTGGAAAAATAAATTCTTAATCATAAACAGTGTCTTATCAAGTACATTCATATTGTACTTTTCCTTTTTTTTTTTTTTAGCACTTAGACATTAATATTTTAGGTATTATTATTTTGATTGTCTTTTTGTTTTTTGCCTTCCAGACAAATTATGAAAACAGAATATATAGCCTGAAAGTAGAATGTGGACCTAAATACCCAGAAGCTCCTCCGTCAGTTAGATTTGTAACAAAAATTAATATGAATGGAATAAATAATTCCAGTGGGATGGTAAGTTAATATAGTCATATTGGTTTTATATAACATAATGTATAGAGTTATATGTTAATTATACATACACACAGCATAATATGTGTAAGATATTAATATGTAGTTAGGAGAAAGTTTTTAAAAGAGGACTTTTGTTAAGCCAGAAGTCTAAAGAAGGTTGCATTATGTTGTTTTTATTTTATTAATATAAATTAGGCCATCCTTAAAAACCTTAATGTGCTTGCCTGGAATAGATGTATGTGGTGGTTAAAACTTTTTTTTTTCTTTCTTTTTTTTTTTTCTGGAAACAGAGTCTCACTCTGTCGCCCAGGCTGGAGTACAATAGTGTGATCTCGGCTCACTGCAACATCCGCCTCCTGGGTTCAAGCGATTCTCCTGCCTCAGCCTCCCGAGTAGCTGGGATTACGGGCACCCACCATCATGCCCGGTTAATTTTTGTGTTTTTGTAGAGACGGGGTTTCACAGTGTTTGGCCAGGCTGGTCTCGAACTCCTGACCTTAGGTGATCCGCCTGCCTCGGCCTCCCAAAATGCTGGGATTACAGATGTGAGCCACTGTGCCTGGCCAAAAGTTTTCTTAGGGTTTTAATTGCCTTAGTAGTCATATTTCAGTTGATCTTTATTTGGTAAAAAGATGACCATTATTGGGCGGGGCATGGTGCTCACTCCCGTAGAGATTGTGCCACTGCACTCCAGCCTGGGCGAAAGAGTGAAACGCCGTCAAAAATAAAGATGATCATTATTTCTCTTTGAATGTTACTTTTCTGAGGTTTAAGGTACACTTGGTGGGATTAAAAGGATGACTATTCATGAAAAGGATGAATATTCATAAAGGGTTTTTTCTTTGAGGAGCAAGTGTATCTGTGTTGAAACAATCATGGCTGAGCATCATTGTCTGTTTATTTTTGGGTTTCACTCTGTCCCCCAGGCTGTAGTGCAGTGGTACTCCCCCACTTCCCCTGGCCTCAAGTGATTCTCCCACTTCAGCCTCCCAAGTACGTGAGACTACAAGGCACATGCCACCAAGCCCAGCTAATTTTTATATTTTTTGGTAGAGATGGGGTTTTGTCATGTTGGCCAGGCTGGACTCAAACTCCTGACCTCAAGTGATCCGCCCACCTTGGCCTCCCAAAGTGCTGGGATTACAGGCGTGAGCCACTGTGTCCAGCCTATTGTCTCTTTAAACAAAATGACATGCCCTGCTTGACCCACACAAGTTAGTTAGTAGAAACAGCTGAATTTCCAATATGAGTAGATTGTTAAGTTCATGATAAGTCTTTGAAGCCTAGGCTCTCTTGGTGCCATGTTGAGAGCACACCACATACAAAATACATTTTAGGAAGCAAAATAACATATCATCATCATAAAATTAGTATCATCCATCTTAGGAAATAGGATCTCAGTATCCTTGATTTCTCATCCCATCCCTGTGTTTCCTCTCTCTACCAGTGTATTTTGTACTACAAATGTATCACATATGTACACAAATTCATCCTCCTTTCTTCTCTCCTTCTCTCTTTCCTTCTCATCTATTTACCATCTGTTAAAAACCACGAGTTTATACTAACAACTCTCACTAATTTTATTCTAAGACTATAGGGTTTGTTCTGTGATTCTTCCTTTCCATTTGAGAAACCTGGCTCCCATGCTCCCCAATGCATTTACTTATTTACTCAATTTCCCCTTCATATAACTGTATTTCTGGCAACAAGTTGAATCTTGGATTCACAGCCAGCTCCCTGCCCCTCATCCCCAACGTAATTCCCAGGTCTGAGGCAGGGCCCCAGATTGGCTGGTGCGTCCAGCAGGGAGGCACCAGGCCAAATAAAGCATGACCCTGAGAAAGGAAGAAGGTGGGAAAAGGTCATTGGAAACCTTAGCCCTGCACCTGCTGGGCCATTAACACCCCCCACACCCCTCCCACTGCCCACCCCTGTGCCAACTCAGAGCTGGGACCTGACAGTCTCTCTAGCCCTCACAGTCCTCAGTTGATCAGTCTTTGTGATTTACTGGGAGCATTTAGTCCATTTACATTTAATATACATAATTACTTACATGTTCAGGTTTAAATAGATCATCTTAGTTGGTGGTTTCTGTTTTTCTGCATGTTTCTTGCCTACTTTTGGAATGGTTGTTCTCAACTTCTTTCATTCTGTTTGTGTTCTTTCAGTGGTTATTCTAGAAATTATGTACACTTACCTATTTTTAAGAAATTTGATAGGAGCAGGATTATAAAGCATATGAGTACACAGAAAGGATATTATTTAGGGAATGTCCTGTGTGACGCACAGCATTGCCTTTATGAAGAAGATCTTTGTTAGATTTTGCTACTAGATGTATCTGTTTTTCTCCACTACTGGTTTGTTTTTACATTATAGTTGCTGTAAATTAAGTAACCAATGGTGTGTTCTACATTGTCATGGAAGCTAGGAAATTTAGATTAAATTTCAGACCTACCTCTAATAAGCTTATCTGATCTCCTGGGCTTTTGGTCCATTAGTTGATATTTTGCATCCCTCTCTACCTCCCTTCTCCCAACCCATTTATCATTAAGCCTTGTCAGTTTTATGTTCCAACTGTAACTCGATTTAGGTCTTGTTTTTCTGTTTACATTGCCACCAAGTGAATATTGGCCATCATTTATTTCCTGGACTCTTGCAACAACATCTCTGATTCTGCTTTTTAAAATCCCTTCCAATCTTTCCAAAGTTAGCAGCCAGAGGGATCCTCCTAAGAGACAAATTGTGTCATGTCATTTCTGCACTTCAGATTCCTTTAGGGGCATCAGCCTCAGCATGCTTGCTTCTTGCCATGGCTCACTGGGTGGGAATGCTCAAGGTGCACACTGGCTTGCATGCCTTTCGTTTGGTCTCAAGACCTTTGCACTTCTGCTCTTCCTCCTTCCTCCACAGTCTGGCTAACTCCTATGGGTCCTTCATTTCTCACTGTAAATTCCCCTTTCTTTTTTATTGAGACAGAGTCTTGCTCTGTCACTCAGGTTGGAGTGCAGTGGCACTGTCTTGCTCACTGCAACCTCCATCTCCTGGGTTTAAGTGATTCTCCTGCCTTAGCCTCCGAAGTAGCTGGGACTACAAGTGTGTGCCACAACACCTGGCTAATTTAATACAGATGGGGGTTTGCCATGTTGGCTAGGCTGTTCTCGGACTCCTGACCCGCGTTGGCCTCCGAAAGTGCTGGGATTACAGGCATGAGCCACCGCACCCAGCCTAAATTCCACTTTTTAACAGAACTCTTTATTGATGTTCCAACTTGAGTTATGTCCCTTCTATTGCTCTGTTATAGTCACTCTTATTCTTTTGTTGCACTTACTATAAATTTATTATTTTTTTGATTTTAAAAGAAATGTTTCTAATATAATAGAGGAAGTTTTAGAGAATGATAGAACCAGCATCTATGTGTCCTCCACCTAGCTTTGTCAAATGTTAACATTTGTCTTATTTGTAACAGATTTTTTTCTTTTTATTTTGAGAGAGTCTCACTCTGTCTCCCAGGCTGGAGTGCAGTCACGCGATCTTGGCTCACTGCAACATCTGTCTCCTGGGTTCAAGCAATTCTCCTGCCTCAGCCTCCCAAGTAGCTGGGACCACAGGCATGTGCCACCACGCCCAGCTAATTTTTTTGTATTTTTAATAGAGATGCGGTTTCACCATATTGGTTAGGCTGGTCTCAAACTCTTGACCTCAAATGATCCACCCGCCTCGGCCCCCCAAAGTGCTGAGATTACAGGTGTGAGCCACCCTGCCCGCCCAGATTTTTTTCTTACTGGTACAAAGACTACATTATAAATAGAGTTAATTCTGTGTGTGGCTTTCTCTTGTTTCCCCTTCCTATTTTTTTTGAGATGGGGTTTTGCTCTTGTCGCTCGGGCTGGAGTGCAGTGGCACAATCTCAGCTCACTGCAACCTCTGCCTCCTGGGTTCAAGTGATTCTCCCGCCTCAGCCTCATAAGTAGCTGGGATTATAGGTGCCCGCCAACACGCCTGGCTAATTTTTGTATTTTTAGTAGAGATGGGGTTTCACCACGTTGGCCAGGCTGGTCTCAAACTCCTGACATCAGGTGATCTGCCTGCCTCGGCCTCCCAAAGTGCTGGGTGGGATTACAGGCGTGAGCCACTATGTCTAGCCAAGTTTAAAATTTTTAAATTAAAATGTTCTCCGTCAGATTGCTGTAAAACTTTCTAAATTCTTACTCTCAATTGCAATGTTTTTCTTGTCAAGGACCAGTAGAATTCAGTTCGTGGCCTGCCCCTTTCCATGGACATACCTTGAGTAGCGCTATTCTCGGAATACATCTAGAAGTGTGCCGTGGCGTGGGGCTTTCTTCAGCTTGAATATTGCCAAGCTGCTCTCCGCAGGGCCAGGTCAATGTCAGCCCCACCAGTGGCGTATAACAGGACCCTGTGAATGTATATTCCCACCAACCCTTCTTACTGTCAATCTGGAATGGGGACTGGGAAACAGAAAAATAAATACTGATTTTAATCATTATTGGAGTGTAGATGTGTGTAGAGAGGGTTGTGGGTAGGGTGAATATATTGGACATCTGTTTTTCTCTTCTATTTACATCTAAGAGATTGGATTATTACTTTTTTTTTTTTTTTTTGAGACGGAGTCTCGCTCTGTCACCCAGGCTGGAGTGCAGTGGCCGGATCTCAGCTCACTGCAAGCTCCGCCTCCCGGGTTCATGCCATTCTCCTGCCTCAGCCTCCCGAGTAGCTGGGACTACAGGTGCCTGCCACCTCGCCCGGCTAAGTTTTTGTATTTTTAGTAGAGACGGGGTTTCACTGTGTTACCCAGGATGGTCTCGATCTCCTGACCTCGTGATACGCCCGTCTCGGCCTCCCAAAGTGCTGGGATTACAGGCTTGAGCCACCGCGCCCGGCCGGATTATTACTTTTATAACTAGTAAATGGTACAGAATTTCACACTGGTGATTGTGCCAGGATAGTTTTATATATTTCGAGGCTAAGTATCTCATGAA